TCGAATAAAACGAGAAAATCGAAAAATAACAGAGTAACACGCAAGACAAAGAGTAAATTAAGAATTATTTACAGCGGTTAGAACAGAGTGCTTAAACGACCGATAAGAAATCCCGAAAAAATTAAGATTATTGCAAAACAGTGAAATTTCTTATTATTTTCCTTCATATTCTGAATTAAAACTAACAAAACTCTAACTATACAAGATGAACCACTACGATGGTTGAAAAATTCTATTGTACAAAAGTTGCATGATTTTAAGGGGTACATAACATAACGTCTGCATTATACTTTCTTCCTAAGTACAGGCGTTTCGAAAGGTTAAAGGTAAACTTATTTTTTTTTTTTTCTTCTAATGGAACGTTGTGCGTTTTACGACAAGGCTGTGAAATCTTGAATAGAAATGTGTAACAAATTATCGATCGTAAAGTTCAATAGTTAACCAGCACATTTTCCTTCGTTTATCGAAGTGTTTGAAGATATTGAATTTCCAACTTTGATGTTACACGAAGAAAATATTGCTCCGTTTAAAAGATCGATGGAAAACGCGGAAGGTGAAAAAAAAAGATAGAAAAGAAGCTTGGTGAACGTTAACGATGGAGCAGGAATAAAGCGGAAACGAAAGCCCTTCAACGATAAAGGAATCAAAGTTAACGTTTAACGCGTCATTCGTCAATCCGCAGGCCTTTAATGCCGTTGGAAAAAGAAAGAAAAAAAGATTATGTATATATGTATATCCAGGCCTTCACTTTTAACCCTGTGCCCGTGGATGTGTGCAACAACTCTTTGTCGGTGGTTTTAGTTGGCGCGTAATTATTGGAAATCCATTACTTCTGAATGAAATGTCCCGCACAAACTCGCGTCTCGTGCCTCCCACCCATACTCGATAATGTCAACCAGACGAAGACTGTGTAAGTATATATTTATTTTCGACGAGATCGCTCTTAAGATTCTAGCGACAGAACTTGAAAGTTTCGAGTTGACACGTCCTCGTGTTAATTGCCGCGATAATTAAAAGATCGAGAACGAGGTTTGGGTTTTTACGTGATTGGTAGATCGGTGACGTTGCGTTTCCGAGAATTGGAGAACTGCGCAATTGGGAAGTACCGAAAAAAAGTGAAAGATTGGGAAGTGGGCGATTTTCAGAAACTCCATGTTCGAATATTGGGGATTTTCGAAAATTGAAAATTCGAATATTAGGGATTTTGAAAAGTTTTAAGTTGGAATATTAGGGATTGGCGAAAATTTGAATATTGGAATGTTAGGGATTTTCAGAAATTTGAATATTAGGGATTTTCATAAATTTGAATACTGGAATATTAGGAATCTTCACAAATTTCAATATTGGAGATTTCCAAAAATGGAACAATAAAACAGAATTTCCAAGAACAGCAAATTAGTAAATTTTCAAATCTTGGCGCCCAATTTTCATAACCGTAAATTTCCCGCCCCATTGATCGCAATCGCTCGACTAACCTAACCTACCCACTGTTTATTCCTATCTCCCTTTGCATCGGCAATAAACCTCAAGCACTCCACCCTTATCGAATTAAGACAATCCCCACTCCTTTCACCATAGCAACTCAAGACCGTTTCTACAAACAATAACAGAGAATACGAGAATAACTAAAAACCGTCTGATGCATCGTTAAATTTGCTATTCGTCAATACGACACGGAGATAATACGCTCGTTACATTTATGAGAACAATTAAGGGCGGACTGGAACGTAGAAGCAATTAGCACGACGCGACGCAACACACGGCGCGGTTATATGCAGATGCAACGCGTCGATCAAAACATCCTGACCGCCTTCTCTGTAACAAGCACCGTATCGTGTATCGAGATAGGAGGAGAAACTGTGTGTGCACGTAAGGAAACGCAACGCTGAACGGTGGACGTGAAGAGACGCTCGCTCAACGTGATTATACCACGGCTGAATATTTATAAAGCGTGGCAATGACTCCAGCCGAATGCTAAACGCATCCCGCGAGTATATCTCTCGTCTAGATGCGCCAGACGATGCACTTACTCGAGGAAATAAAGCGGAATTATTGTTAAGAGGGCTTGGTTTCTCCGAAGGACTTGTATTTCGAGCGGAAATACTGCGTAGAATATTTGAGAAGATGAAAATTTGAATAACATTTTTTTTTCCACGGAATTAACTTGTTAACTTAACGGAAAACTTGTCATAAATCGTTTCAACGGCAATATTTGTATATTGCGTCAATGCGTTGGCAGAACAAGTGTTGAGTGGGAAGTACCCTGTTTGAATGTATCGAATGGGATTTTGGAACATATGATTCGTGGAGCTATTTGGTTTACGGGAGATTGTTTGTAGTGTGCAGATGTATACAAGGTTTAGAAACATGATTTTCTATTGAGCACAGCATCCGATGGTATTTCCATTATTTTTACAGTGATTAAAGGGCAAAGAGAACAGGTATTCATTCATAAGGTACGGCGAGAGGAACTCAATAACCTTGATTGCTCCCCGAACCTGTCACATCGATGCACGGGCTCCTCCACCGGAGTTTCATTCACACGCGATTCGTGCCCGAATTCACAATGTACCGAGATTTTACCGACAATGTAACACTTAACAGGACTCTCGAAAATATTGTATAATAACCAGTATTTCCTACCCCCTGAACTCTCTACTTTTCTCATGAGTTACATAATCCACGATTTCAGCATTACGAAATAATACGATTATTTCGATGACTCACCATTTTTTTTTTTTTTTTGACAGGAACCGTATCCGAACCCTGGAGACACTTCCAGCTACGGTTGACTATGGACGCACAGAAACACGTTATCTAGACTTTGACACACTTCTCGTAAATCGTGGAAGACCGGTGAAATTATCGTTTTACAAAACACGCAGGACTCATACAGTGTATTTTACGATTGCCGCTTGCAAACACTCGCGAACAAATTGGATTCGATACTTGTTCAAGCGAATGACATTAGAGCACAACAAAACAGTCGCTCACCGGCTGACATTTAAGAACACGTCTTGTCTACATCCAACCACTCCAAATACCCGAAACAGACTGGCTGCTTCCTTTTCAAATCGCAATCTATCTTTGTAAACCGCCGTTAGACGGCAGCATGAAGCGAAAGGCGCGCCATGTTTAACCGCCAATAAGAGCGCGCTCGTTCGAACGTTGCTCCAATCAGAACGGAACAACCTACGTGCCGAAATTCTCTTTGGAATATCTATGGGGTGTCTGAGAATTTCATGGCTCATCAGTATTTATCAAAAAAAAACTCTTTTTTACAAAGACTAATCGATGAATTTAAAATTTGTCAAAAAATGACTGATGAGGATTTTTCGAAGCAATTTATTATGTACTGAATGAGACTAGGGCTGTGAATTACTTTCGTTATATTATTTTTAAATTATTCGATATTAATTCTAACGTATCATACTACCTAAAACCTAATTCATATTCTACAAGTAATTTCTAAAACGTAACGAATCATATGTTGTGAAAGTTTTTTACTACACAACAAGTTGCAAAAGTTTATTGTAGATTATATGAAATATTGCATATACGATAAGTGAAAGAGAAAAGGGGTATAAAAGCGGAGAAATCACCCTATATGATTCCTCTGGTTTTATGGACCGCCGGTGTTCCCAGATTGCTCCCCCTAAGACGCAACCCACCAACCAAGTCAATTGTTCTTAAATAATATAAATTGGAGACTAAGAACTTAGGCCAACAGTGGCCGAGCTCGAACAAACAATCTGTCTTTCACTCATGCAATCGAGCATAACACAATGCAGGAGAAAAAACAAGAGACGAATGAATGACGGGCAGTACGATTCATTAAATAATTTATTGTTTTCCTACAAAGCTTTTGCTTTTGTTTATTCAATTCGGAATCGTGAGACTTGATCATCCTATTTTTTGTTTCCAATACGTTTTTTCTCACGGATGCTTATAATTAACTTTTTTAAACTCAAAGTGCACCTTGCAATAATATCACGAAATGTTTTAATCATGTTACAGAAACACCAACGATCGCGACAACAGTGAATAAGAACAATACCAATGTGGCCATTAAAATTTTTCCATATAAATATTCAAATTGAAATTTCAATAGTGACATTTTTACAAGAGACAAAAAATGTTAACATAGAAATATATCAGTATTATGGTGGAAGGAGCTTTCGAAGAAATAAGAAATTAGAAATAAAAAATTTAACTACCTGCAAATTTGAAGCACGAACAGATGCATGACAAACTGCGTTTGCTGTTATTACGAGGAATTTCATGCACGGCGTGACTTGCTTTTGGTATCCAATGAATATTGCATCTTTGCCAGATGCATTCAATTATTTCTAGGTTTTCTGTTCGTAGACAAACGAAAAAATGTATGAATATTCTACGACGGAGTTTATTTCATGCCGCGAAATGGAATTAGTTTGAAATGAGTAGCTAATACGTTAAGAAGTTAAATCTAACTTAAATACCACAGATAAAGAAGAAATTAAGTGTATTTCCTTTGAGATTCTTTGAAAAGTGAACTCAGTTTTTTAGATTTACTGACAATTAATTTTAACACGTTACAACATCAAGTGAAGTCCATTTAAGCATGAACTACGTTGTTCAAGAGTAGAAAACACGACCAAGATCAAATTCTCAACATATTAATTTCTTTCATAAAATTCATCTAACAAAACCTCTATAGCTTGCATTAAAAATTGTGATTATGATTATATCGAAATATATTGACATTTTGAATGCACAAGCAAGTAAATATAAAACTTGTATTCATATGAAAATTGAGACCAATATTAAATCCTAACCAAGATGTCGAATCATTTGGATAAATTTAAATACTTGATGAAAATATCACACAATTTACTGACATATAAAATACACATATAAATTCTGTAAAATATTATCATATTTGTCCTTGAGAGGTTTTAATAATCGCATGAATGTTACCAACCATGGTCGCGAATATTCTATGCAGTGGTTCATGCCGCTAGAGCTCGTGGTTGACGACGTTGAAATCAGCAGCAGCGCAGTGTTGATCTGACATTAAACGTATTTCCTCTCTCAAAGTAGAGAAGAGGCCTTTACCGCGATAAATTTCTGTATAATATTCTTTAGGCTGCTGTGAGTCTTTCCTCTGAAAAATGCCGCGCGGTAAGCGCAAAAATTAATATAGTTTTCATTTCGGACAATTATTATCATTTCTTCCCCACCACATTTATTCGCGTGAAAAACGTACTTTCGTACGTTTTGACCTCGAAGAAAGAATCTGGATTAAAACACCATTTTCTTTTAGGTAAATTTGTCGGTTATAAAGGCCGGAGTCGTCATTTCACTAACCCCGAGGAACTCGAGGAGCAACGACGCCAGGAGGAAAGAAAACTCCAGTGGAGAGTCAGTATTTTTAAGTTAACCAACAGCACGACGGCTTAGATATTATTATTAAGTACGTAAACTCGAATTGTTCTTTGATGGTCAAGAGTGATTCCTGCACCACTTGTGAGATTTTTACGGAGCACAATACTCCATTCAGGTGCAAATCACATTTAAGAGACCAAACGCAAACCTTCAGAAATTCTTAACTATTAAAAGCAATGGACAGAGCCCAACATATGATTTATATCATCTGTTTTTTCCACTTGCATTTATTCTTTTCAAAGTGTTATATAAATTTTACTTATGGGGCTGGTAAATAAAGACTCATTATTATAAAGAGGAGATTTATGCTTAAAGGCTATAGTGGTGTTGTTCTTTTTAGAAAAACAAAGGAAAGGATAGCTCTAGTGATGAAGAGGATGAACCTAAAGCACGAGGTTACTCGTCTAAAACTTCTAGTTCTTCAGGAACAGATAGTGATAGCGAAACAGACTCAGAATCTGAAACTGAGGTGGGTTGAATTGTTGCTCAATAGTTTGCTCAAAAGTTCTGTCCAATTTACAAATGATAATTTTCATTTTATAATATGAACAGGTCAAGACAAAGGGTGTAGAAAACTTAATTCAAGTTGAAAATCCGAATAGAGTACAAAAGAAAGCAAAAAAATTATCTCGATTAAATCAATCTTTAGACTCTGCAAAACCAGATTTATCTCGGAGAGAACGGTAATAATTATTACAATATACATGTATCTCTGTATGTATACATACTCTACAATACGAATTTCTGTATTCTAAAAATTAATAAATTCGTCGCCTTTTTCAGAGAACAACTAGAAAAGCAGAGAGCTTATGCGAATTATCAAAAACTGCATGCGGAAGGTAAAACGGAAGAAGCTCGCGCGGATCTAGCACGATTAGCCATAATTAAACAGCAACGAGAGGAAGCAGCGCGAAAACGAGAAGCGGAAAAGAAGCAGAAGGAGCTTGCTCAGCAAAGGAAAACAGAATTTACGCAAAAAGCACTTGGCAAAAAATCATAGAATGTTTGAACTTGTGTCAATTAAAACACACTTTATGTCACAGCTACTACTACAATTAACAATGATGAGCAGTTTAAACTCTACTTTCATATTGATACTAATTGACTAAATCGATTCACGCATTTACAGTATGCGTTTGATTGAAATGCCCTTCATGAATTGTGTATAAATACGATTATTAAAATAACTAAACTATATTTGCATTTTTATTCAATTTCCTCCACCATACGAACAATGTACTAATACACAATTACGGACGGCTTGACAAAAAATGACAGGTATATTACTATTATTTTGTAGCCCATAAAAGAAATGTATATATGATAGATATAGTTTATTTATAAGAATAGGTAAATTTTTGTTTACAAGATTTTGGTTATATAATGATTCATTATGTGTGCAAATTGTAAGTAATTAATGCTTTGACAAGATAATAGTGTTCAAAGTTCAATGTAATATAATGTCTTACTTAACATTGGTTAGAAGGAGAGAAGAAATAGGGTATAAGGCACAGTAGTGCTTCTACATTCGAGCTGGTACGATGTGGGCGGATATCATTTACGTTGTGCTATTGTCATTTTGTGTATTTATTGGATTTAATTACCGAAAAATCGAAGATCCATATGTGAAAAAATGGACCAGCACAATTCTCGGTCTCGCATTATCTCTAATCGTCTCTGAAAGTCAAATACTTCATCTGTTAATCAGCACTGCGATTAACGCAGTAATCATAACCAAAATCTCACCAAAGTATATCAATGTTTTATATCAATCTCTTGATTTAAAGTAGGATTATTTAAGACTTTCATCGTTCCGTTTGGTTTTTTCTCAATCCTATCAGATAAGTGTTGTAATCTCGCATTAATGTCTTATGTCAAAATTTGAACAAAATATCTGTCTGACATTTGATTATTTTACTGTCTGCAGTTTAATTGGTGATATTCATTTTTTATTTTGTCGTATCTTACATTATAAATATAAATTAAATAATAACTCTGTTATTTCAAGGCAGAATATACGAATATATCTTGGTACTCTGAGAGAGAGAGAGGTACTTACTACTTAAATATCAAATTACCGGCAATTGTAATTTGATCATCAAACGGCAATATTAATATGTTGAAAGTCTTTGAATGCCCTATTTTCAATCATTTAGTTTCACGCATGTTACATTAATTTGCATTTATAAGATTGTAAAGCATGTCATGTAAAAGTTGTTCTAGTTTTCAAAGCTAGGTAAATTATAAATTATTCAAATGGAAAATTGAAAAAATTCTCATATATGTTATTTTTATTTTCTATATGAAACTCTTTTTTCGAATTATTTTATCATATGTATTTCTTTTTAAAATTACTTTTTTTTACAGGAAATGTCATGTGGTCAGCATTTTTTTTTCATTCTTCTATCTACTTATTATATTTCGATTAGGGGAATATATTGGTTTACGAGAAGCATCAACTCATACAAACCTCATACTTATGATATCAACCCTAAAATTGTCTGGACTAGCTTTTGAATTAAATTCAGCTAGCAATGCACCACCTGATGATGCAGAAGGAGTAAATTCTGAAGCATTAAAGGATGTTGGATTTATGGATGTGTTCCATTATACTTTCAGCTATATGGGACTTTTGACTGGTAATTTTTTCACATTCTAATCAACTACAATTAATCTGATTTTCATATTGCATTAAGCATAATATTTTCTCCTACAGGACCATATTACAGATACAGAACATACTGGGATCATTTATATAGACCATTTGCTAAATATGCTGAACCATGGCCTGAGACACTTCACAAACTTAAACAAATTGCTTGCTTTGTTGTATTGTTTCTTATAATGAGCAAATTATACCCCACCAGAGTAATATTGATCTTTTTCTTAACACTAAATGCAAACAGGATTGTTAATGATAAAGTTCTGTTTTACATTTCAGTATGTCTTGACAGAGGAATTTGCTGAACGGTCTTTCCTTTACAAACACTTTTACATGTATCCCACATTTGCAACTTTTCGACTAAGAATGTATATTGGCATGGTTTTTGCTGAATGTGCTTGCCAAATGGCTGGGCTTGGCATATATCCTGCACAGTCTAAACCCATCAAAGGACTAGGACCTCGAGATTACAAAACTATCGAAACACTGTAAGAATATTGTTTTCCTTGTTAATTTGATACAAAAATGAAACAGTTAAGTGTTACAGGTCTAAAACACCCGAGAAATTGAAAGAGGTGGAATACAACAGTGATACTGTGCTCAATATGGATATTTGGAGACTAGAATCCTGTCAATCAGTGAGAACAGCTATGAAAGTATGGAATGGTTGTGTTCAGTACTGGATGGGTGTCTATGTATATAAGAGATTCCCACTGAAAAGTCTAAGGACTATGGTTACATTTATACTGTCTGCTGTTTGGCATGGTTGGGCACCTGGTTACTTAATCTGTATGTGTCAGATTCCCGGCTTTATGTTAACCGATGATCTAGTCATGAAATATTATAATCAAAGTCCAAAAGATAGTATTGTAAGTTCTATCTCTAGCATTTGTTTTTTTTAAATAACTGGTCGAAATTAAAACTCCTCGTGTAATGTGCTATTTTCAGGCTCAGAAATTGTGGTACATGTTTGGATGGTATGAAAAAACAACTTGCATGGCATATTTGGGAGTGTCATTTCTGTTACTAGATTTCTATGATATTATGCATTATTATAAAAGTGTGTATTTCTCTGGACAGATAATAGCAATTTTAATGTACGTATTTGTTCTCTGCTGCAAGCCATATCTTTTGAAGAGAACTACAGAAAGTAAGGACAAGGACAAACGTAGTCTGTGATTTTTTTTGCAATACATAAAGCTGCATGTCTCTTTAATATTTAGATATACATAGGAGTAATTAAATGAAACGTGCATTATAACACGTTCCGCCTACGTTTACGCATTGAGCCATCTAAAAATTCTTAGAATAGTGTAGGTACTTTTTATAGAATTATTACATTTTCCTTTTTTAGTACAAATGATAAGAACATTTATTGACATAATGTCAATGATTACAATTAGAATATCCAATTAAAAATGTAATAAATTTTCGTACTATTATCAAATTAGTCAATTTGTAGGCTAACGAAAAGACTTTGAGCTTATGCTGTCTAGAAAACGAACACAAACATTATCCTCGGATATTTAGAGGGATTTCAATCTTTCATTTATACAAATAAGAAATAAAAAGTTCTATTTCTTGGATAAGACAATCTTTATTGATCCTCCACCCTCCACATCTCTACAAAGATTTATTCCTCTCCTTAAACAAGAAAAATAATTTTTTATATATTGCAACATCCTCTTACCTCTAAAATACTTACTCTATCGATGTTTGCAGACACCTGAAAAAATAAACACAGGAAAAGCGAAAGGATCCCCCACTCCCCCACCCTCAAATTTCCCAATTATTTTTTAATTGTGGCGGCAAGTGTTTCAAGCGATGATCGTATTTAAAAATTGAGATCTTTATAGATTAGTCCGAAACGATTGATTTACGCTGCAAAAATTTCTCGCGAATATACGTATGTACTAAACAATCGCGTGTAACAAATTATTATTCATCTTGAAACTATCAAAATAAAACAGATCAGATTCAAAATAATATACTTGTCTTTAAAAAAAAACTCGACAACGATTATTATCATCTCGAAAAAAACTAGTTTTAAACGTTCAACTTTAAAACGATCCATTGAAAAAAAAAAAAAGAATAAAAAAGAAACATATATCTCAGTATACTGCTCTTAAGTAATTTGCGAAAAGGATATTCGTACTTTAGGAGAAATCGAATACTTTTAAACCTGTTCAACTTACGAATCAGACCTAAACAGCTGCGAACAAAGTAGTACCTGCTCGGCTTCTAATGAACCATTACTCTGGAGAAATGATCTCTCTCAAGAAACACGCGAAGCAATTGGTAGACATAACAGTTGAAATGTGAGTCGTTGCTCGCGAGGTCTGGTGATGCTCACGTGCTACCTGCAAACCGGACGGTGGTCGAGACCAGCAACCGCGTGTGGCTTTTGGTTGTGCTCTCTGCTTATTTCTCTGCATTCGAGACCGTACCCTCTGCGATTTCTGCACGCCGACCCCCCACAGAGAGAGAGACAGCTTTCGCTCACACACTTTCTCTCTTTTTCTCGCCCTGATCGACTCGCGAACCTGCTTTCACCAGACCACCAACCGCTCGCTACTGCAAACTGCTTACAGCCCTGCTACTCGGCTTACTGCTTACTCTCAGCTACCCCATCATCGGCTACACTCGCCACGCCACTCCTTTCCACCGCCTGTGGCACCATAAAATTACAACTTAGTTATAAGGAATAAACGTGTTATATCCGTGTGTGAGGATTTTGATATTTCTTTT